CGTCTGCCTCTTTGGTTGTTTCTGAGCTATTTTTCAACTCAAGTTATTGAAAACTGATAGAATGCAAATGAGTCACGTCCAGTGGAGATGCCATCGGTCACTTCCCATGGCAGGTGACTCCTTTTGTCCGTATTTGCTGTCCCCTCTGTGATCTTGACGGTCCCTGGCGCATCTGTCCTTGGAACGTCTTTTTTTTTAATGTTTTTTTTAGTTGCCGCTGGACACCTATCATTATTTATTTACTTTTTTATGTGGTGCTGAGGGTCGGACCCAGGGCCCCGCCCGTGCTAGGCGAGGGCTCTGCCGCCGAGCCCCGCCCCAGCCCCTGGCACTCCTTAGAACAGCGTGGTGGACCCTCTGCGGACGGGTGAGTTGAGCATATGTCGACCCTTGTCCGTTTTGTGCTTTTCTTCGCCCACCTCCGGCTGCGCCAGCAGAGCATCCTAACCGGGTGATCCGTAAGGAAAAGAGATGTCGTGGCCCTGGTTCTTGAGGCTGGGGCATCCCAGGTGCAGGGCTGGCATCTGGAGGGGCCTTCGGTGTCGGGACCAAGGGGAAGATGCCGAGACAGAGGCGGGGGCTGGGCCCGTCCTTCTGGAAGGAGCCCCTCCCAGAGTGGCGCACGATTCCATCGGGGCGCAGACCTTACAGGTCCCACGTCTTGGTGGCATTAGGATGGCCCTGATGTTTCCAACACTCACATTCTGGGGGCGTATTGAAGCCCGGGTGATATTTATGAGAATCCACCTTTTAAAGAAGTTGTCCTGGAACTTCTCTGAGCCTCCATTCCCCGGGGCCAGACGGGGAACCCAGCGGAACGTGACTGGGTGCCTGTCGGGCTCCTTGGGTGATCCGTTTTAAGCCTGAGCGCTCTTCACTTTTCCCTGGGAAAAGTGAGCTCACCACTTTGCACACCGCCTGGCGAGTCCCGGCTTCTCTGGAACCAGACGGCGAGCTCCTGGGATGGAGCGCGGGGTCAGAGCGGCTGCTCACTGATAGGAAGAGGCAGGGGCTGCCGGAGGGGACGACTGTCTTCTTAACAGGTGCCGAGCGCTCGCCACGCGCTAATAGATGAACTCAATTGTCACCGTGATCCTAAGAGGCAAGAAACTCTACCCAGGGGACTGGTGCACAGAGGGGGCATGTCACTTGCCCAAGGTCACCCAGCTGGCAGCAGTGGCAGGGTTCTCCTTGGTCCCGCAGACAGGAGGGAAAGGGAGTGAAGCCCTTCGGGAGGAAGAAACGGCACCACAGAGTCAACACCCCTCTACGTAGTGAAGCTGCCACCTCTGGTCACCTGAACCCTTAGGGTTGGGCGGACCCTGTTTCCAGAGGAGGCCGGGGGAGGGGAAGGGTGTGTGACAGGGAAAGAGGATGAGGACCCAGGGTTGTGGGGGGGCTCGTGCTTCCCCCGGCCCACTCAGAGGGAGGCCCAGAGTGAGCAGGAGCAGATGCCTGGCCCGGGGCCTGAGCAAGGCAGAGGCCAGGAGGTGGGCAGGAATGTGGTGACATGCCCCGCGAAGACCCCTGCAGGCCGTGGGGGTCGAGTTGAAACCTGAGCACCTGAGGGATCCGTGACCTGGAAGCTGCTGGAACAAACGTCCTGACACAACTGGGAAAGCGGGTCCACCGCAGCCACACGGTCGGAGTCCCCTTTTGGCACCTGGTGTCTGAGGCCCAGGGGGCGCTGCCAACCTGTCCCCCGCTGCCCACTTTTGTGGGTGACCTGGCCCTTGCCCCCTCTGGCCCCGGCCTCCCGACTCAGCCAGGGCTGCTGGACAGCAGGCGTCGCTCATGGGGCCCGGCTCTGATGTCGGGCGCTTTCCCGTTGACCAGGACAGTCACACCCTGTGAGCCGCAGTCCTGCCCCGTCCTGTGCCTGAAGGCAGGGCTGGCACAGTGACCACCGTACAGACGAGGAAACCGCGGCCCAGGGGACGGAACCCGAGTCTACAGAGAACCAGGGCGTGCGGGGCCCAGCCGGGGCAGGGCTCAGGGCCTGGGGAGGGGACCAGTCCTGGCTGTCCAGCTCAGGGGAGCAGGCCCGGTCCTCCCTGTCGGGCCAGGCCTCAGGGTCACTGGGGCAGAGGGGGTTCTCTGGGGCTGGTGGGAGTTTCTGCGTCCATCTACCGACGGCCAACAGGAGGCTCAGGCAGGGCTGTGCTCGGCCCCGGGGACTCCGTCCATGGGGACAGAGGTGGATGACATCTCAGACTCTCCAGGACACAGGGGGTGGTCAGGCCGACCGCCCTTCCCAACCCCGAAGAATAACCCACGACACCAAATTCTGTATTAAATTAGAAAAAAGTTCTATTTCTGTCCCACTCTGCAGTGTTCACATCAAGGCCATCAACAAGGAGCTGGGCACGTGTCCACTTCCCTCGCAGGGGAGGGTCCACACCAGCCTTCCACCCACCAGGGCAGAGCCCCTGTCGTTCATCTCCGCGTCCAGTTCCGCGTTCGCGGTGCCCGGGGGTTCCGACAGACGCGTGTTGAATGAGTGCGCGAGGAACCACACTTCTGCGGCCTCCTCTCTGCCTCATCAAAGGAAGGGAGACAAGTGTGTCCAGAAGTCATCTTGTCCAACTGCTTTATGTCACAGACGAGGTCCAGAGAGGGCAAGTGACCTTCTGGAGGTGGCACAGCAAGTTCAAGGAAGCTCAGGAGCCAGAGGACCCCCTACGCATTCCCGTTCAGCTTGCTTTCTGCACCAGGAGAGCAACTTGGGCTGGAGAGACGAGTGCGGTCCCCTGCTGTCCACCCTGCTACGGAGGCCCGTGCCCCCTTCCGATGGCAGGTCAAGACAGGGTCTTCCCTGAGACCCAGGGCACCCTCTGCTGCCTGCTGTCACCAGAGAGAGGGGATTTCTGGTTCCTAGGTTGAAGTGGCACAGATGCCGCCCCAGCTGGGGTGCGGAGGTGGAAGGAGGCCGAGGGCGGGGAGGCAGGTCTGGGGGAGCAGAGGGCCCGGGAAGGGTGGCATCTCCCACGGGTGCTGCGGGAGGAGGGCCACGTGGGCGGGGACCCAGGCAGAGGGCAGCTGACGTTGAGCAGGTGGGTAGCAGCCTGTGGGGGGAGCCAGCCCGGGCAGAGCCGAGGGGGTCAGCACGGAGCCCTGTGAGAGGAGAGGTCGGGGACAGAGGTGAGTTAACCCGGGCTGTCCCTGCACCTCCCAGCTCCCCCGGGGCCTGGGACTTCCTGGCTCAGCAGTGAGAGTCCTGTGTGCACCTGGTCCCTGTAAGGAGGGCATGACCCTGGGCTAGGGGACAGTCCTAACTCTGCCACTTAGAATCGAGAGTCGGATCCTGGTCTCTGCAGCAGCAAAAGAAATTAGGGCATGAAACAGTTCCACCCCGGAGCCTCGCGGTGGCTGTAGACACCTGTGTCCCTGGGGCAGGGCAGGCTGTCTGCTGTGTTTACGGCTCGACTGCCGAGGTGAGCGCCTGGTGCATGCCCAGAACATATGTAGCTGTGAAATTTCGTGCAAGTCCCACCGCCCACCTCCTGGAGGAAGGAGAAGTGATGGCCATTCAGGGATGAGGACGGGCAGAGGCCAGCCACTCGCCCAGGCTGGTCTTCCAGAAGCCTCCTTGCCTGTGCTATTTCTCACAGCCCCGGGGGCTTCCTCACATCTGGGGCTGGCTGGGATGTCCCCAGGTGGTGGTCCCTCCACCCCGCCCTGATGACCAGGGCACTCACAGCCACGTCCAGGTTCACGGGCAGGGCCACGTCGGCCTCACCCAGCTGCTGCAGGGCGCCCAGGCTGCCGGTCTTCTCCTGCTTCCGCCACTTGGCTCGCTGATTCTGGAACCAGATCTGTGGTTGGGAAGGTGGAGAGGCATGAAGGAGTTCCCCATGGCCCCTCCCACGGTCGCACTTCACAGTTTATAAGCTAGATGCATGCAGGGTGTCTTTGGATCTGGACCTCAGCTTTCTGAGAGGGGACCTGGTTTGTGGTCTTTGGTGCCTACAGGGCTGTGGGGACCATGCAGGAGGGACCCTGGGAATCGAGGGGGCTGTGGTCTAAAGGGGGCAGCTTCTCAGCTCCTGCCTCAGCCAACTCCTGGAAACCTGAGCTCCGTATTTTTGACACAACCAGTTTCCAGGGGGAAAATGTTGATCTTTATGTGAAAGCTTCTAAGTGTTCAAATACTGTGCAGGACGAATGAAACCCATTCGGTGGTCCTGAAGGGTGACCATGTGAACCTGATGATTGCTCTGAGGCGGGAGTTGAATTCTAGGCTTCAGGGCAGATTCGGGTGGGGAAAGAGGAGCAGGGTAAGGCAGGGTGGGCCTCAGCCAGGGGGAGAGGAGTTGGAATGGAATAGAGTTGGCCTGGGCCGGGTTGGGAGTTCGAATCAGAACCTGTGCCTTGCGTTGGTTTTTGAAAATGAAGAATGACGTGGGAGACTGATTTAGAGAGAGTGCCCACGGGGTACCCTGGAATCCAGCAGAACCTTGTGTGTGGGCCTGGTGTTTGCAGATGAGAAAGGGTGGAAGGTACCCGCTGATGACAGGGAGTGGCTGTGTTTGTGACCGGGGATGCAGCACCAGACACTCTGGGGGAAGAGATGACAGAGGGCAGGTGAGACTCTCGGTGCTCAACCAGGCTCTCGCCACGGACCCCACAAGGTGTGTGTGTCCCACAACGACTAAAGTCGTCGCTATCTGGCCTTCACAGAAGTTTGTCCACCCCCTGGCCTGGACTGTCAACACCTGGTTTCTGAACGAGGCTGCGGGGGTGACCGACCCCTGGAGCGTAGGCACGTGGGGAGGAAGAGGCCGAGACCAGCAGAGGCCCGGATGCTGCCTCCCTCCAGCTGCTCCCCACAAAAGGAGAGAAACCGTCTTCTAACGATGGCTTATTTCTCATCAGATGATGATTTCAGTGCTTGGAAAATAGTATTTGGCCAAGGAGATGAAGCCAATGGAAAATTCCAGAAGGGGGCACCCCAGGGGCTCAGGACGCAGCATGTCACCGCGGTCCCTGCCGGGGCTGGGGCTGGAGGTGCCGTACCTGCACCCGAGCTTCTGGCAGGTTGATCCTGGTGGCCAGCTGGCTGCGGACGTGGACGTCGGGGTAGTGGGTGAGCTGGAAGGTCTTCTCCAGCTCCCGCAGCTGCTCCGTGGTGAAGGTGGTGCGGACCCTGCGCCTGCTCTTCCTCTCTTCTGCAGGAGAGAGGGTCAGCTGTGTCAGGAGTCCTGGGACAGCACGGCGGGGAGGCTTGCGCGGCCTCCATCTGCCCTGCCAACCCTGGCTGCGAGTCTGGGCCCCTGCTCTCTCCCCTAGCCCCCCTGGTGTTTTAAAGGGTTGCCTAGGCTGACCCCACCTCATGCACACTGGACGGTGAAGCCAAGTTCACCTTCTAGAACAGTCTCTAGAACAGTGCCTTTGTGCTGCTCAGTCACTGAGGGTTCAGTGACTCCCCTCGTCTGCCACAGGGTGGGCACACTGTGGTCCGCAGGCCGCCTCTGGCCCACTGTCTGTTTTTAAATAAAGTTTTATTAGAGCGCAGCTCCAGCCCCTGATGTGTGCACTGTCTGTTTTTGAACAACAGCGTCACTGTCATCACGACAGGGGCCACATGGCCACAAAGACTAAGACAGTCACCATCTGGCCTGTGACAGAGGAGCGGGCCAACCCTGGTCCACACA